CCAGACGCCACAGTGGGGCGGCTGTGGCGGTAAAGTGCAAACTGTTGTTGTGTCCTCAGGCAAGACACTTAAGCCACATTGCCTAGTATCAGTCTGGTATGCGTGTGTGTGTGTGTGAGCGAGTGAGTGAATGAATAGTGTGTCAGAGGTCTGGTTGCCTCTCTTTCCTCAGTCTGCCCCAGGACAGCTGTGGTTATAGTTTACCACCATGTAAGGAGTGAATGAATAACGCATGTGAAGAATATTCAAAAGAATGCTGTATAAAACCAATGCATTTTTATTGTTATCATTAATGATTATGACAAAATGGAATGTTCGATGGTTAAATTAACAGTTTTTGTTGTTGCCGCTTTTAGTTTCTCTGTGAAATAATACTGTACTGTTTGTGAGTTCATACTTCATCATGAATCAAAACATTGACAGAACTTTTAAGAAAAACAAAAAGTGTGCTTGTGGTGTAAGTGCAGCAAACTTGGCGTCCAGTGATCGTCTTGAAGCGACTGCTCCTTTGTTCTGTGGCATTAATCTGCATCGTTCCCGTTCCCCCTCTCCTCTTTTGATCCGCTGTTGGATCATCCTCCTGATGATTCACTAACTGCAAAAGAAATTAAATACAAGGGGATTGACGAGCCGTCCCCTCCTCTCCTTCTCCACTGCTTCTCACTGTTTCTCCCCGAGGCCTCTATTTTTTCCACAGATAAGCAGCAGATCTGTTTTATCGGTTCATTCTCCATCTCTATCCTCTCCTCTTCCTTCCTCTTTTTCTCTCTTGGAAGTGTTTAATCCCAGCCTTGCGGTGGATGCATGTCAGAGATGTAATTCCATTGTTCAACATGCTCTATGGAGTCCCCACCCCAGTTACTCCCGGGGCCACATACATATTCAGCAGTGCTCAAAAACAAAAAATCACATCATTGTTTGTCATGTTCTGCTACTTGAGCCATTCTAGTCTAGGCTACTTCAGGCGGATTACTGCATGTTAAACATATCCCAGACACACAAATCCTAAGTACATACATACACAAGCATTCAATCAGTGAAAGCAGTCTGCAGTTTGCACACAGCCACAAGCTAAAGCTATGCTGGGTGATGTCTGATCGTTTTGAAGTGACAAAAACAAGTGGTTTGCCTCCTTTCTACTAAGTCACTTAGAGGTTAGTGCACATTTAAATGGCATGCACAATTATTTTTGGGTAGAAAAAGCACCTAACCACATACAAAATACATGATATAAAGTATACCTAACTTTGAGACCACAAAAACAACAATTTAATAAAAATCTACAGTATGTAATAGTTCTGAGCTCTAAAAATATTTTGATCCTTTGAATAGTTTCCACATGTATGTATGCATTGTTGGTGTCTGTCTCATCTTTAGATCTGATATTTTTTTAGGAAAACAGAGAACCATCATTACAACCTATCATCTATCAGTATGTAAAGGATAAGGTCTTTTCTAAAAGACATTTGTTCATAAAATGTTACTCAAACCAGACTCTTTCTGTTGAGACAAACACAACGTTTTTTATGAAGTCAATAAAAACTTACTAATGACCAAGGCTAGGCTGGTTTGGTTGGAGTGAGTCAATATGATATGTCAACCGTATTAAGTTGGTTAAAATTTTTACCATCTTTAAGTAAGAGTCTGGCTTTAGTTCAGAAGAATTATCCAGAGCCAAAATTACAGATTGCCTGGATTAGGGATTTTCTGAGATTTAAAATGAGGAATGAAATGTCTATGTTGATTAACATCTGACAGAGCTGAAGTTGGCTGGATGACAACGGTTTACTCACCAGATTCATAATCAGCATACAATCAAGAACAAATGTCTGCAGGGTCAACAATATAACAGCATGACATGTCCACCTTGGCAGAGCTGAAGTTGGCTAACACTTTGAACTTGTGTATTTGGTTACTTTGGGGTCAACACAAAGGGCTTGTGTCTTGTTTGTGTGTGTGTGCCTATTTGTGTGTATGTGTGTGAGATTAGTAAGCATCATCCAACCCCTTTTCCAAACGTATATGTCTGTATACACTAGTTTGAACTTAAACATCTGATTGGTTGATGGAGAGCAGAGTATCCATCAACACTTCATTGAGACACTTCAACACAGTGACGCTCTACACTCCACCTCCACCGTCCTGGTCCCGCCAAATGTTGAGCAATGTTCTTCTGGGCGCTGTCCGGGGTGCAGTAGTGCGCAGCTCCGACTCCTGTAAACAGACCTGACCGCATGGTGGACGCTCTGCCCGTCTGGCCCCCACTTCCCTTCACCTCCTCTCTCCTAAACAACCAGGAGGCCACACCAGGGGACAGGGGGTGGACAGGCACAACATGTCCCAGTCAAAGCTGTTTATATATATTTTTTCTATTTTTTTGAACAGCCACACAAGCTTTCTGTGTTGTTAGACCTATTTGCAGTTCCTAATTGCGGTTCATGCCACCAGCAGAGCTTCAGATATCTTCCACAATGCCCTGTCTTGATAGATGTGCCAGCCCCTCAGCGTCTGTTTGATTTATGCGTCAGGACAAATATGGGTCAAAATGAAACATCCAACACCGTGGCTTCTTGGTGCTTGTTCTTCTTTATTCTTTTCCATTCCCTTTACACTTTCTTCTTTTCAAAGCTGCAGCTCTGTGGGACTCTGGCTGTCTATGTGTATGTGTGCGTGTGTGTCTCTCTCTCTATGTGTGTGTCTGTGTTGTGTGTGTGTGTGAGTGCGCGTATATGTCACGTTTGCGCGATGAGACGTGACAAGCGCCTTCATCCTCCCCTCAGTCGCCGCATTCCCGAACGCTCCGCCACTTCGCTCTGTGCCGTGCGTTTCATCTTCCCTTAAACTCGCTCCCTTCATCCTTCCTCCCTTGCATCCTTCCTCCCTTCCTTCCTTCCTTCCTCGCTCACTTAAGTCCCCCCCCCCCCCCCCCCCTCCTCTTTCGCACTCGTCTGCCTGCGCTCTCACAGGTGAAAGAACAACACGCGGAGGAATGAAAGGGACAAGATTTTAATTAGAGGGGGAGGTTGAGACCAAAGCAAAGGGGATAACGAAGGCGAGCTGCGATAACACATGTAAAACACAAAGACTTAATCTTAGAGAGCGTTCGGAAGGATCGCTCAGTTGTGCGGAGTAACGGCGGGATAACATGTATGCGCAGCGCTGACGGAGTGGCGTGTGCGTTTTCCACTAAAAGTACTATCTTTAAAAAAACACTGCCGACGTTCATAATTTATTTACTTATTTGAAAAGAAAAGTGGAGACAGACCTAGCTTGTTTCAACACTAGTTTTCAGTCTGAACTAATCCATTGGTGATAGTTCAGTGATTTTCAACCCTTGGTATTGTAGTGTTGCTTGCGATTTTCTTTCGTGTGCCTTTTGGAAAGTATCCATTATCACCTATTTGGTCAAAATTAAGTGAAAAGAAAAACATGGGAGAAGATTAGAAAGGCATTAGACAGAGGCAGCAGCGATCGCACCTGTAACACGGGTTGTTTTTAATTCCTTTCAGAGCGAAACAAAAGGACACAAAGCTTTTTATATGATTTGTCTCAATGTGCATAGGAAAAGAGACGTCACCACTGGAGATATTAATGACGCACGCTTAAGATACAGTAACAACGTGGGTCAGAACAAAGACGTTCACTTCTTCAGATAATGATGTTTAGCAGTAATACAGACATAACAGGGGTCCACAGCACAAAATATGCAGGTTCCACACTTCTTTGATTTACCATACAAGTTTCATTTTAGCATCTGTTCCAGCTGGTGGTCTGCCATGTGATTGTTTTCAAATATCAAGGTGTACCACAGCTCAAAAAGGCTGGTTTACACTGGGTTAGGTGTTCTTGTGTTTAAATCTCATTTGCTCCATGGGGGAATTAACATAATGCATTACAATCCACGGTAACTCGAGAAACAATAATGCTGACATTTTTACAGTAGCCAAACTGACTGGGACAGTGCAGGGGTCTCAAACTCAATTCACAAGGTTGGGTCAAGGTTGAGTTTGGGTGAAGCTGGGGTCCATAAAGTGTTCAATACTAATACAAAGCAAACAGATCTATGCACATGGAGAGGTAGAATTAATGATATTTTACTTTGCACACACTTTTAGCTCCTGGATTGATAAAAATGCCTATGGTTCAAAAGGCTGCATCTCTCTTTCTTTAACAATAACGAGAAGGTAAATGTTTCTACTTGTTGATCAGAGAGACAAAAACAGGGAAAATTAATTAATTATATATTTCTATGAACAAAATAAGTCCATCTGCTTGGATGAAAACAATACTGGACCATAAGCAACGAGTTTTTGTATTGTAGACTGGGTTTAATAATGTTTACTTTGAAATATTGCTTATTTTTTTTCAGGTTTCAATGTTAATAGTAATGGTGTGGTTGTTTTCTTCATAAAATGTGCTTTAAAATGATGTACATTTTAAGACTCTCTGTGGAGGCTGCAATGAGATTAATCTTTGGTGTCCAGCAGGCAAAATGCCTTTTCGGGCCAGCATGTTTACGACCCTTGTTTTACAGCAAGAACTAACAGTGCACAGTCGGCTAACATACCATAAACTCAAACCTCTGTTAAGTTATAACATTTTAGAATGACCAATAATTATGGAATCGAACCAGAAAGAATGATTCTGGTTCTGATTAAGTAACTGGGGAATTACAACAAGGACTAGTGCATGTCTCTTATCATCTTATGTTTATGATGATTTTTGTTTTTGATTGTATTTCTTTCACCTAAATGTGAAGCTTGGGTTCTGCAGCTGCTATGCTGGAGACACATTTCTGTTCAGGTCTATAAAGTATAGACCTACATGATATAAAGTATAGGCTTATATGATAGATTGATTTGACTGGGCAACCATAAAGAGGGTTGAGCGTGAGCCCTTGAGCCAGGAGAAGGATATGGACAATGCATATTTGGAGCATCGAGACAAAAACAAGTCTTTTAACTTGTCAATAGTGTGTTTAGTGCGGTACCTTTGACAAAATGCGACTGCTGCACAGTAATGGGGCAGAGCCGCAGGTTGTCACTGCGGTGAAACTGAGCTCTGATGATGAAACTGCACTGGTGAATGTGCGGCTCACGGTGAGACTCACTGATGAAAGTGTGTGGAAATGTGGAGTTTTAGCCTCAATACAAGCATCACTTACTGTCAAGACATTGTGTCACACTGTGCAAGCAGTTTTGATTCTGTCTAACTCTGACGTTTTATTGGAAATAACAATTGTAAACTATCTGGTTTTGTTGTAATAGTTAAGAAACTTAGACAATCAAAATGCGACACAATCTTTTTTTTAGATGAAATTTTATTTTTTGGCACACATTTCACCATAGACATTGTAGAACAACTCACCAGTGGAATGAAAATAACAACAGAAGAGAACCTGGCAAGGCACATTCTCAGCGAGTCTTCCCTCAGGTGATGCAAGACTTTAGACAAATGTCTTGTTTGTTCACCTCTGAGTGGCCATCTTTCAAAGGGTGGCATGCCAGCACAAACACACAGATATATGCGCTCTGGAGCCCATCATTTGTCTCTCTCATGAAGTAGGTAGTGAGAATATTACAAACCAAAATCATAACACATTGCCGCGGGGCTGAAGTTGGACGAGGAGAGAAGAGGCAGCTGTGTAATTGAATTACAGCCTGACAGGCTGGGAATAGACGGGGAGATGCACATGTGAGCGGAGACACAGAGGATTGAAGTGGTTTAAAGTTGGGGTCATTTGGTGATCTGGGCCGAGGTGGAGGCTGACTCTAGTAGATGGATGAGACGACTTGTGCTGTGTAGATGGTGCAGTAAACAGCCTTATCCTCCATTAATAACAGCACTAATCCCCCTGATGTGATTACCTCTCTATGCCTGCACCCCTCAGCTCTCTGCTACTATTCACCAGTGCCAGCCTTCTTCACGGCGCCTCAGCTGGTCCAAAACCCTCAGCAGAGCCAACTCCTGACTGTGTTCGACTGCCAAAACAACTGAGATCTTCAAATGAAGCATCCTCAGCGAGAACTCGCCTCTGGGCAGGTGTATGGAACAAGCCAGCAAGAGGTGCTCCGGTAAAGGGGGAATCATATTTAACCAGATTAAAACCTACCCCTGCCTGCACAGATCCAACTCTTAATACTGCCTGAAAAGATGACACGTGATATAAATCTAAAAGAATCAGCTTTGGATGCTCAAACATTTATGGAAATATCTGCAAGCAATAAAGATTATGTGTGCGCAAAAGGAAGGCAACAGGCATGTCAGTATGGCTATTTCTGTCCTCAAGACTGGCTGCCAAATGTGTTTTTTCCAGCATTTGATAAACTCGGTACATCAATATATGGTCTTGTGTTTCTATGGAAACTTGGACCTGGGAGAGTGTTAAATTTTGCCACTTAGCTCAAGATCTGCTCAATAGTAACATGCCATGATAAATCTTCAAAATGTGAGTTTATGAGAGCGATATGTTTCACAGTGATAAAAATACCCCCACACTCAAGCGCCACAGAATTACTGCCTCACTCAAGTCAATTTGATCTCTCTGTCAATTGCCGTGAAACTATTTTGTGTGATCTTGCATTAGAAGTAAAGGCACCAGAAAAAAAATGTGGAATGTTGGAAGTTGCTGTATCTTCTTGTTCATCACTGTTCGTATTCTGATTCGAAAAAGTCCCTCTTGTAAAAACACATCTTGTGATGGACTTGGGCACGTATCCATGGAAACGGTTATGTCTGACCTTCACTTGGGCTCGTTCTTCATCGGACTCAGGTCGGCTCATCAGATCACATCAGCGCACGCACACACGCGCACGTACACACGCGCACGTACACACACACGCACACATATACGCACTCGCATACACCTACACACACACATGCACACGCACACACACAATAATTGCACTTATATACACACACATGGACACGCATATACACACACACATACTGTCACCTTCCATCACACAACAATGTGGATGGAAGTAGGCCTGTCATTATTAAACAATATATCATTCTGAACCCCAACATTTATTATCTTTGCAGAGAAGAGAATGTCTTTTTTTTGCTGTAGATCTTTCAAAAAAGATTTTATTAACTGTAATTCTGATAATTATTTTACAGAGTGCATGCTTTTTAATTAAATCTATCAAAATTGGAAACAAGATTCTGTCCTGGGAATATCCTGCTGTATTATACTCTCATCAACGTACAGTAGTTTCAATATAATCAATGATCACAATAATTTACAATAATAATTTTCAATTTATCGTTTGGGAAAATGATCATGACCGAGAGGGAATTTTCCCAATTACTCTCAATGTTTTTGTTTTTTAAAGGAGCTCTGGGTATTAATCATTATTCATTTTATTAATTTGTGAATAACAGTATTTAAGTCTGTACATCTTGGTCTTGAAAAGAAAACGACATATGATTTGATTTAGAAGTGAATGAGAAAAAGAAAACTATGATATGCTGTATGTGCACTTTGTCATGTTCTGAAGATGTTGCAAATATAAAACAGCAATTTTCAACAACAGCAAACCTAAATAGAAAATGTTCATACCACAGTGACAATCAGGAAGAAAATAGAGATGTGTGTGTTCTTTCTGATTGAAAATTCAATCTGGAGAGACAACAACAGGCAAAACATAGTATTAGAAATGTATGTTGATTGGCAGGTAAATGACACTGCATGAATTACACATATGACACTAAAGACAATATTCAAGATTAGATTTTTTGTGCTTAACAGAATGTGGTTAAGATTTGGCCTTAGACCCCGGTAGAGCACTGCACGATTGCAGAAAGGGAAAGAGATTATGAGATGAAATCCCCGGGGCCTAGACCCTGGTGGTGGGAGCGAGGAGTAGGATGAAGGACCTGGCCTGGAACAAGGCGGAGATGGGGAGGAAGAGGGTTGCGGTGTGAATGAAGCTGCTGCTTGGATGGAGCTGATGCGGGCAGTGCCTGATTGCTGCAGGTGTGGATTTGCGCGAGGCGCGGTGCAGCTGAGTGTGATTGACTGATTGCTGTTGCTGGGGGCAACAGCAGGAGAACTGAGTGCTCCTGTTTGGGAGCGCTCAGAACTGGGTTCTCGGGTCTTCCACTCTGAATTTGCGCTTCAAGCTTCATATGTCTGCATCTTTCAACAAACTCTAGCTCAATGATAATGCTTTTATGCTTGTTTTGAGATCAAAATAACTCACAAACTGCATGTGAACACCAGATCCCGCCACGCCTCTGTAGCTAAGCAGTGCAGGGCCTGTTTAGTACTGTGATGAGAGACCTCTGGGAACACCAGGTGTCACAGTGTGGCAGCTGAGGCTGTAAAGTACCAAACTGTCGTTGTTGGGCGGTATATTGGCTGAGTGGATGGCACTCTCGCTTCTCAACAAGAAGGTCCTGGGTTTGAATTCCAGTCGGAACAGGGCCTCTCTGAGTGGAGTTTGCATGTTCTCCTCATATTTACTCCGGTTTCCCCAACACTAAATACATGTAGATGTACAATAGGCCTGGATGCGCCTCCTGTACTGGTGACCTCACTCCCATCTCTGTGTGGAGTCAGAGACAAATGCCCACAAACACTATATAAATAAAGATTACTTTCTTACTTACTCACTTGTGTCCTTTGGCAAGACATTTCACCCACATTGCCTAGATTGAGTCTGGTGTGTGTGTAAGTGGTTGCTGGTGGTTGGAGGCGCCGATGGCACATACTGGTTGCCTTGCTCCTGTCAGTGTGCCCCAGGGCAGCTGTGGCTACAATAGTAGTTTATAGAGTGAATGAAACGACAAGTGAAACGTCTTTGAGTGTCAAAACTATGCATTATTCTGATTGATTAGTATCTCAAACATACAGCTCAAGGAACCTGTTTTCTCTTGTTTTGAAAATATCAGCCATTGACATAGATTTTATTCAATCATTCTTTTTTTTTTTCATTCAACTTTCAAGTCATTTTGTACTTGAGTGATGTCTCTGCACATGAGGAGAGGAGCAACAGCTCCTCTCCTCTCCTGTGTGAATGAGAGCTCTCCTCCGGTGTTCAGAGTTCATCCAGCTCCAGAAGGGCCCACATCTGGCAGCTCGTGGCCCACGGCTGTGCACCGAGGCCTGGAGACCAGCCCCTCCTGCAGAGCTGCGTCTTTGGTGCATGTGTGGCACCATTCGCCGCTCCACTTCCTGAGGCCAACTGCCTTGATGTGGCTACAGAACTGTTTGATTTATTACTTTGCTAAGTGTGTCCACGCGGTTAATAATGCCATTATTGTGACTCTCCCCTTTGTGGACTGTTCCCCTTGCATCTAACTTTATTGCCTTTACTGCACACAGCTGACACAGATATGAATGTCTATGAACACACAAGTCTCAGATGTTTAAACGCAGAGGAAGTCATGAGGAAGTAGAAAAATATGTGGTGGATTGATGTTATAAATACTTTGATAGCTTCCGTTTTGTGCATTTGAATGTCGCAGCCTGTATGGACTAAGGGCCTGTGTAGTGGTGGCACTCATTATACAAGGAACAAACAGAATAAGACTGCAGTTACCAGAAAGATAAATAATATTGTATATTGTGTAACCAATCAAAGCCGCCTCATCAAAGTTCTCAAACCACTGCTTCCTCCTCCTGTCACTGTAGTATTTACACAAGGTAATCAGCATGGTCCGACTGTTGACACGGGGGCACGCATTGATTTAGAGCACCGGTGAAACCCTCACAAAAGCTATAACTCCTGCAAAAACACAACAGAAATATCCTCTACCTCCAGTATCTCTGCCAAACAAAGCAGACTATACAAGATATACAAGATACATTTGGCAAAAGACTAACTTAAAGCAACAATAGGCAAACCACTGTCTTGAGATGGCATTACACCTACAGTCGTTCATGAAAATATAGTCAAAGCCATGTTTTGGGGCATTCGTTCTGCAGATCAAATAGTTTCATGCTATAATATGGAAGAATATCACCTGGCGCAGTGCTTAGTACCTGTGCTTCACAGCAAGAATGCACCATGTTTGATTCCACCTCCTGACAAAACATTTCTGGGTGATCATTTGCATGCTCTCCCTGTGTCTGCTCCGGTTTTCTCCGGGTGCGCTCCTGTTTCCCCTACCACAAAAAACCAAAAACATGAGTGTGTGTTTGTGGACGGATGGAAATTGGTCCATGGCTACAATCCGGTGTATTTACAGCACCTGCTGTCCATTAATACACACTGTTCCAGTCAAATAAACACAAATAAACACAATAAGGGAATAGCATTCTCATGCAAGAGGAAAATCAGTTTTGTTGATGTTTCCCCGTATTGCAATAAACTAATATACACAGATCTTCTCTATGTTCCTTCTTATGGAGCCGTTCAGGGGACAGATGGAGGGATCTGCAGCTGGGAGCCCCCAGGAGCCCACAAGAGCCCACGGGAGCTCAGAGCAGCGACAGCAGAGGCTGGAGTCAGGCGTGGGGCTTTGGCGCACTCTGCTGGTGAAAAGGGGAGGTGAATAACTAGACTGGTTTGAACGCTATGGTTTGAACATGTAGATAGTTGTTGTGTGTTTAGGATTTGACTATTGTTTTAAACTTTTGTTTTAGTTTTACATCGTTAACGGTCTACGTCTGTAAAGTGGATGAGCAAAGTCTGACCACTTTACCGGCTTTTGTTGTAGGCTAGTCACATATGCTAAAATACTGTACTCACTCTTGATTTCAGGATGTGATCATAAGGATACAGACGTACACAAGAAAAAAGTATTTTTTAATTGAAAAATCAGGTGATGTAAACCAGAGACTAAATAATTTCATGTCACACACGATTTAAACACTTGTTTGTGTTTATGTAAATATCAGATTTTTGTATTCTTCCAGTTACATCAGCTTCACATTGTAGAGGGATATTCAGAAAAAAATCTAAATTTCTATATAAATACTTGAATACTTTAGCATGTGTAAGTGTGTAATAAGATCTTCAGAGTAATGGAATTGTCTTCATCCCACCTCCATGTAAATGTAAAAGAGTCAGTGGGCCACATTCTCTTGGCTTTGATCCTGTCACAGCAACTCAAACCTTCACCTAGAAATGTATACATCTCTCTAACAGTTTCTTGTTTTATAACGACTCTTGAAGTGACCCAGCTCCTCTGTAATGCAGCGCTCCATTGCCAAGCCACCTTAAAAAACACATGGTAGGTCAATTTGAGATTCACAATCAGATGGAAACTTTGTGCTAGGACTGGGTACCACTCTATGTGTTTGTTGATTTTGTTAATCAGAATAACACTGTAATACAATAATAACACTGGTGAATTATATGCATTCTTACATGCTTAGCGTGCCATTTTTCTGCCTGATCCCTGAAAGCAAAAAATACAAAATATGTCATTATTTTGTCTTAAACACTATCCCAGAGCAGTCATGTTGACGGCGCCCATTCAATTTGATGGAATTCTGAAAAAAATCCTAAAAAGTAGTTTTTCACTACTTTTGTAATCTGTATGGTTTGTTTATGTTAAATATGCTAACTAATGCAAGTAAACAGTGTGTTTCTATGGTAACTAGCACTGGCTCCAAGCTGAGATTGCTCTGATCCAGTCTAGGATCCACATAATATAATTTGATACATAATGACGTAGAAGAAAACTACATATAGAAAGAGAAAATGTCACAAAGTTTTGAAGCCCGAAAACGTACACAAGCAGAGTAATCACACTTCCTAAACAAAAAGCCATCAAATTGACTGCTCCGGGAGTGTTAAGCAGGCAGCACATTTTATAATTACATACGTCTTATTTGCCATGTTCCTAAAGCAGCCATAAGTGTCAGCACCAGCAGCAGAGGAACCAAAATGGCAGCAACGTGTCCACTGCCGCTATCCTCCGCACTCTGAAACACCACAGACATCAATAAAATATGTTTATTTCTCATTACATTATTTACTGTTTGCATTGCTGTTTTTATTATTACCATTGCGCGAGTGTCTGGGTAGAGAGTAGTTGCTGACATGTCCTTTTGTTGACCTGAGAAATATGATAAATTGTGCTTATTAAAATAGAAACATACAACTGAAACTATAGTAAAGTGGCTTTTTGTCTTGTTGTGTATTTTTGTTTGCGTATGTGTGGAAATATAAGTGTCTTGACTTTATTTAGGCGTGTCCTGCTGAGTGTGACTTGGACTCGCCACTCGCCATATTGAGAAAAATTGAGACGGAATGATTATTTTTGAGTGGAGTCCACCTAAAACTTCTGATCACGCCTTAAACGAGAACGCAAGAGGCAGAAACACTTTCCAAATCCAAAAGTTGTCACCTTTTTCTTCCACCGTGAGTGTGAGGACATTGCTGGCTTTGCTTTTGCCAAAGATATTTCGAGCAAACATTCGGATGTTGTACGAGGAGGGTTTAATCTCGATGATGGTGGCCTCTGTTTGATTGCAGCTGAAATCCACGGTCTTCCTGTGGTTCCATGATGCTGCACATAAGATTCATTTAACAATAATCATTTGTTTTTGGTGAATAGTTTGTAGACTCATACCATTGATAGATTTATACTCCAGGTAAAAGCCAGTAATAGAGCTGGATCCTTGTAAGCCAGGGCTCCACACAAGAGAAATCACACCGTCTTTCACACTTTTCAGTTCAATTGTAGGAGGTTCAGGCGCCCCTGGTACACATAACACAAAAGAGAAAGACAGATGGTGAAACTCGGAACATTTAAACATAACAACAATAATGTATTGGTTTTGTATTTTATATTTTCAGGACACTTAAGACGCTTCACATGTCATTATTCATCAACTCCATGCACAGTGGTGATAAACTACTACTAAAGCCACAGCTGCCCTGGGGCACACTGACATCAGCTCCTCTCACCCCTAAAAACAACTACGTACCTACTGCAGTGACGTTTCTTTTTTATATGTTTATTTATTCATGTTTTTAAATATTACCTTGTATTTCTTTTTACTATTTTTATGCTTAGCTTGTGTTTGCCGCTTGAGCTTACTGGGATTTTTTTTGTTTGAGTTAGAATGTCAGAAGCAGAAATTGGGCTCAAATGTTCTGAAATGTGAAGAGATGCATTGTACCAGGTTAAAGCACAAGTGCTAATTTCCACCTGTAGTATAAAGGTGTTATTACATAAATTATTTGTTAAAAAAAGATATATTGACCATAATCATAGCAGTCTTACCTAAGTTGAAAGATGGAGAAGCTGAGGCCCAGACCGTGGCAAAGGCAGCAGTGGTCCTCAGAGTCTTCACTGTTGTCGTTACATCAGCTGTATGAAAAACAGATTTTAACTTCCATGTTTCGTTGCACACTTTAAAGAAGCAGCATTGTCTACCTGAAGAGTTATCAGTCCTGTTTGTCATAGTTGGGGAAACTGTTGGAGCTTTAGTGGTCTGGTCTGCAAAACAACACACTCATTATTATCGCAGTTATTATTCTGTTAATCAATTCTCTGACTGATGATTCTTTCAATTATCCCAAAACAAAGCTCAAGTGCTGCCCGTGGACTTGTTACACATTGGTTGCTCGATTAATAATACAAGATATAGACAAAAATGTATTCAATTCAATTAGTTATGTATCTAAATCACAACAGCAGTCGTGTCAGAGGACTTTACAAAGTTGTCGATTCCAGATTTTAACTGTTTGAACAGAGATAATATTCTCTCCTCTTCACATAACTATTATTAGTAAGAGTTGCTGGAGGATAGAAGTTAAACCAATGACGAGGGCCGACAAGGATTTTACTCAATTTCAACCAATCAGGAAGGTGCAGGGGTGATCATGGGCGGGGCTAACCAGTGCTTGTCTTCAAAAAGTTTCATTCTCAATTCACAGTTTTAAAAGTAATCAACATTAACTATGTCTATGTAAGGTTAAAAAACGATTGAGCAATTTCTAAATGCGTGGACAACAATATCAACAATCAATTTGCAGAGATGAAATAACTGATTTGATAAAACCATACTCAAAATACATGTAAAATACCACATTTAGTGATAGTTTGCTTCACCTTCTGGCAGGGTGGAGCACAGGGGCGCAGTGGACGGCGGCCCGATGCCTCCGTGGGTCCGAGCCTGCACCATGATGGAGTACTTGGTGGATGGTTTGAGGTTGGAGAGGATGTAGGTCTGGGACTCCCACGCTGCACCGGCACTCGCATACTGCCATCCCCTGAACTGTCCGTCATACTCTCTATAGCTAATCCTGTAGCTCCTCAAGACGCCATTCCGCAGGTCTGGCATTGGCGCCTACACACACACACACACACACACACACACACACACACACACACACACACACACACACACACACACTGGTGATGGCCCCACAGCAAACTGCCAGAGCACATGTGACTGTTTCATGTCTTACCTTCCATGAGACTTTGATGCTGCGCGACGAGAGGGCCTCCAGCTGCATGTCTAACGGAGGGCCCTGAGGAGCTGTGAGGAAATACGGCTGATTTTAAAGAAATAAATATGATGAGACTATTTACTTTGTCATTTCATGTTTTAGAATGTGAAATAATATCTTCAGAGGCAATATCTATCAGCCTGCCCTATCGCTGTGCTACCACCAGCGGGAGATAGATTTTTATTTATTTTTGTATGTATAATTTGAAACTTTCTGACTTTTACTTGAGAACTGTTAATATTTCATGGGTAATGGTTCTGGTTTTAAAAGACAGAAAACTGATGAGCGTGATGTCATAGTGTTACGATGACATCATCATTACAGAACGGAGACTGGAGGTTTTTGACAGGTTTGGGCGGAGTTACATGTTTGTGTCAAAAGCTCCTGGTGTGCATGGATCTATAAATCGAAGTTGCCTTAACTCTAAGAAGGTTTTTGATGAGGAACCTTGGTAAAAACCTAAAAAACATTGCTTTAAAGCTGAATTCTATATTCTAGAATGCTCAATTTCTTTGAATAGAAATTTAGTTTAAAGTTATTTTGGTCCTAACGTTCCGAGTTTTGCATGGTCAGGCTTTTTCAGTGATCCAGCCTAACACCCCCGGTCGGGCTCAGAGGACTATGGATCACAATCTGCTGATGGTTCTGTGCCCTCGTTACAGGACTAGAGAAGACCGATTCGTGCAGGCTTTTTCCTCTCTCTCTTTCTGGGTTCAATAATGTCTGTTGACGCCTTCAACATTCAGCTTAAGACCTCTCTTCATACAGGCGTTTGAATGAATGGTTCTTGGGGCCATTATGAGGTTTGAGTTGTCTTGGCTTTTTAAATTTGTATGTACATTTTAAACAATGTTTTAATGTATATTGAATTGCTTTGTGACACTGGCCTGTGAAAGGCACTGTATTAATAAAACTTACTTCCTTCAAACAAACAATACATGAATCCTGCAAATTGTTTGGTTTGATGTATTCCCTTGTTTTGCCTAAATATTATTGTAAATACAAGTTTTACACTTCAGACTCACTCTCAATATTTTAGTACTTTTTAATCATAAATCTCACAGCATTAAATCTTGATTCCTATAGAGCTAAACAATGAGCTGAACATCTCTTATGTAGTGAAAGAGGAGTTTGCAGTAAATCTATTGCTAAGCAGAACGTACTGACTATTTTTCTGTCTGGATTTTAAACCGTTTATTATTGAGTGTCCATCCATATTCAGCAGCCGATTGCTCATGGACCAATATGGGGTTATCATACATGAAAATTGTTCTATCTTTCTTCAACAAAATCCCAAGGGTCCAGTAAGTACCTGCTTCTTTAGTCGTCACACTGAGCACGTTGCTGGGTTCGCTGATGCCCACACTGTTGACGGCAAACATCCGCAGGTTGTAGGTTTTTGCTGGACGCAGATCCACCAGAGTGACCTGGGTCAGACTGGGGTCATGCAACTCTGTTTTTATCGCGTTGTCCCAGGGAGCTTTGTAAAATAAACATAAAAAAGACAATATGATGGAGTTTGTGTCTTTGAGCAGGGCAGGGTTGTGTGTGTTCATACCCTGCTTGTTTTTCAGATCAATCCTGTAGAACAATATGGGCCGACCGCCGTCAAACACAGGGGTCCAGCGAACTGTGATGGCCTCCTCTCTCACCTCCCGGGGCTCCACCTTTGGGGCGTTTGGATGAGCTGAAAGAAGCCGGCAGTTATACAGTAAGTACAGTCAAAAACTCCTTAGAGTGTTGAAATCTGTCAGGTAAGAAATATTCACTCAATATTCACGGACAGAATTAAATTATTGTAGCTGGACATACATTGCACTCACTGGAACATGTGAGGAGCATAAGCCTTTCACTTTAGTCAAATAAATACAACTGTAAGATGCATATAAAAGAGGAGTGAAGGACCTGGTACTACGTTCAGAAGCGTCTCGTGTTTGTGGTCGTTGAACCATCCTGGGATGTCCACGCGGCAGCCATACGTCCCGGAATCCGTCTCCTGCAGTTGTCTTATAGTCAGAGACACATCCCCTTCTTCTAAATTCCCAAACAGGATGTATCTTTCGGACGCTCTGCTGGTCATCACGGTTCCATCTGTCCTGATCACCTCACTGGCACAGCCTCTGTTCGGGATGGCGCCTTTGCCCCAACAAACAGCCAGTTTCCCATAATATTTAGCGTCATAGTTACATGTTATTGTAACGTCTTGTCCCACGAAGGCTTCAAGGCTGTCCGCCCACACAGCACCTAAAGAACATTTCCCAGTTACAGAAATGCTCAAATAATATGGAATAGTTTTTCTCACCAAGACAGAGGCAGAAGATGAAACAGCACTTCAGTAAGGGCATTTTGAATCTTGATGGACGTGAGATACAGTACCTATAGGTGACCTGCTGTGAGTAAAGAAAGCCACAGTGCGGTTTGAGCTTTGAAACGTTTCCAAATCACATGATGCTGACCCCGATTACTGCCCACACAAACACTTCTGCAGCCTGGAGGAGGAATGTCTAAAAGTGCAGTTTTGGTTCCTTATCCTCCTAGTGGCAAAGCATCTATTTGATGACTAGACAGAGGCAAGGTCAGGCGGCGAGATGTGTGCGACTTATTTAGGCCGTTAAAAAGTTGTTTGCTCTCCTAACAATGTGCTGTAGAAGAACATTTGTTTAGTTTAGCCCTCACTAACCAACAGCTAATAACGGTAGGATTTATGTGTTATAAGTATTTCATTGGTATTTATTAAGCACTTATACATGGCCTTATTCAACATCTAACTAACTACAAACTGACACTTTTCCATGTGGGTTAGGGTTGGGGTAAACTAATTAGCTGTTAATAAGTGAGGAATAAAGAGTTACCGAACATTTGATTAGTTTTATCTATTCTTTGCTAGTGCTGGTACATACACTGTCTTGGAATAATATTCATACCCCATGAGCTTTTCCACATTGTGTCTAGTTACAAAAATAAAACATGAAGATAGTTTGTTCGTGTTTAATGTCAAAGACCAACACACAATGTTATAAAGGTACAGAGCTTATCTTTGATACTGAAAAGTGTGGCAAAAGTGTTCAGCTTCCATTATTGAGTGCAACCAATTGCATTCAGAAGTTGCCGAATGACTGATGAATGCACCGCCAGAGTGTATTTTAATCATAGCTGCTCTGTTATGGCCTCAGAGGTTTGATGATAGAATATTTGTCACAAACAAGAATCATTGAATCCAAGAAACTCATCAGAGAGGTCAGTAGTGAAGTTGGGAGCAAGTCAAATATTTACGAAGCTATGAGCGCTGTTTAATCCATCAACTGGTAATGGAAAGAGTATGGCACAACTGCAAATCTACCAAGACATGCCAGTCCACCCAAACTACCAAGCTCGCACAACGACAGCAGTGCTCAGATATGCTCATCATTCTACTCACACCATGCCCAGTGATAGAGGTGCAGCATCATGACATACAATAAGGGTTGCTTGTCTTCAGCAGGGACAGGGAAGAGTGTCAGAGTTGATGGAAAGGTGGATGTGACAAAATAACTCCCAGGTGGAGATTGTTGAGGATTGTAAGTTCCTTGGTCTAACTTTGTCCAACAATTTGAGATGGGACAAAACACCAACCATACTGTTAAGAAAGCTCGCCAACGTCTATACTTTCTGCGGAAACTCAGGGAATTTACAAATAACTCTAAGATTTTGCTGAACTTTTACCGCTGCACCATAGAAAGCCTGCTTCCTGGTGCGATTACTGCGTGGTTCGGCAGCATCACAGCCAAAGAAAAGAGAGCTTTGAACAAAGTTGTTCGTTCTGCTCTGAGGACTGTAAACCGTGAGATGCCCGTTCTAGAGGCTCTGTATGAGAGCAGACTCTTGAACCGTGCCCTGAGGATCGTAAATGACTCCTCTGGACATCCTGGAGCGGCCTTGTTCCAGCCTCTTCCCTCGGGGAGAAGATTCCGGTCCTTGCTGTGCCGGACCACCCGTCATGCGAATAGCTTCTTCCCTCAGGCGGTTATAAGACTGAACAGAGCGCCCTGAGATCTGCTTCTCTTTGTAGCTCTTCGTAGCTTTTCATTATGCTTTTAAGAGTTTTACATTTGCTTCACTGTGTCTTGCTATATTTAGTCTTATTGTCTGTGTGTGTGTGTGCTTTGTGGTGTTGGTGCCCCCGGTGTCTCCTGTTTGTATTCCAATGTAGCTTTTTCTGCAAATGGCAATAAATTGATTCTGATTCTGATTCTGAGATGATTTCTCTAGACATAAAGACTATTCATACAATGGAATGGTTTAAAATAAATCATATTATTGTGTTAAAATGTCTGAATTGAGAATCTACTGTTCACAAGCTCTGGAAAGTGACTGAGCTTGTTTGGTTTGGCAAAAAAGAATGGGCAAAAAATTCAGTCAGTAGATATGCAAAGACTAGACCTACCTCCTTATTTGAGTTCCACAAAGTAGTGACTCATAAATAATTATTAGTCATTTTGCTCTCACTTCCCATTTGTCTGTCACTTGTTGTATCTTTCACATAAAATGCAGATACAATTTGTCATGTGTTTGGTCATAATGAGGCAAAATGTAGTGCTTATGTCTGAACCTTCACCTAGTTTTGTTAAACTTGTGGCAGAGTTGAATATAGAAATGTGAACTTGTCGTTATGTGAAATATCTCAATTGTATCCAATGGGGTCATGCGATGGGGAAAGTTGAACAAAAGGTTTACTTTGAGTCAAGAGTTGTCGCTGCTGAGTTTGCTAAGTATTTTGTGAGCAATGGTAAACTTCCTCTTCTATACTCCTATAGCTAGTCAGAAGATCCAAACAACCCACATAATATTAACACTATAACAATATTGGCTTCAAACTAAGTCCAGTTAAAGGAGTCTAGTAGTATTTCTCAACACGACTTTCAAACTTGTTTTAGTTTTATAAATGCATGTTGTTAGTACCAATAAAGTCAAAATCCTGTTTTTATCTTGATAGAAAACATGTTTTCTTTTGCATACTGAGAGCTGATTGGCTGAGTGAGGGTGGTGCTCTCAGATCTAGCTGTGATAGAGGAACAAAAATATATATCTGTAATAAACTAGAAATGGAACCAAACTGTTTTGAGAGCTAAGCACCAGTTGCACCAGTGCTTGGGTACACTGGTGCAACTGGCCGCTAGTTGCTTAGTGTCTTACTTTTAACTCAGAGTAGATCAGAGTGTGTGTCTTTGTCCTCCTCAAAAGAATAAAAGTCAACTTCATTAACGCTGTTCTGAGTGGCCACTTCTCTTAGTTTATTCTCAGATGGTCTTCATCACGGGTGTTTTTGATCATAAACAGCAGAAATATTGGTTATGATCTTCGTAGTATAACTTAAATTTAGGAACAGTTTTGCTCAAAGTTAAGAAAGGAACCAAGTAACAGGTTACTTTTTAAGAGAAGTAGCGAGTAAAGAGAAGTAAGTTACTTTTTAAAAGTAAGTTACCCAACTCTGCTAGTGACATAGATTTGTATTACATAGTGGTTTCATAGTTAGGTTTTCCAGCTTAATAGTTTAGCAGTTTTTATTAATAGTTTAAGACTTGTTTTCTGTCTTAAATAAATAAAATAAAGATAATCTCATTTATGTATTTCAATCATTCCACTTGCTGAAATATTTTATTGTAAGCAAAAAGTCCCACTAGAAAAACTTATAAAACCACACAAAAATTCAACTTTTATTGTTGGTTTGATCATTGGAAAACATTTTAGTATAACATGAAGACAGCTAAAAAAAAGTTCAAAAATCAACAACAACAAAACAAACACATACAAATAATCAAATCTTGTTTATATTTTTAAAACGTTGATGAGTGGTTTTATTTCAGCCCTGTAGGTGGCAATGTCCCCTCACCCTTTTCATTGTATCTTACTATAATAACTGCATTAACAAAAATTGACGGAAAGTTGGATCACACGTGCTCTTCAAAAGCGACTTCATAATAGGCTTGACTAAAGAACGTATGCTGTGCTTATCCATAAAAAAACGTCAAGTTAAACCCTTTATTTAAATTCTCCTCACATGAGCGCCCTGTCTGAAAGTGCCTCATAATTATTTTCACTCATCACTAATGCATTGGAATACTTTCATAGATATTCTCCTGCGCTGAGGTCTCAATATTCTCTGTCGTTTTTGTAGGCAGCAGTCTTCTCCCTGATGAAAACAAAGAGGAAAAATACATATTTGTTTTAAAAATAGATGCTCGAATGATATTAAAAACAGGCACTGACTCAACACATGTTAAACACAATCTGCAAGTGCCACCAATCACAAACTGTTCCACACTCACAGAAAATAAAGGCGAGGATTAGGATTATGGTGACGAGAAAAACCGCTGCCAATCTGCCAATGTTTCCCACTCCCAGAAAACTGAAGAGATCAAATTCCTGGAACGTGAAAATGTACAAAATTGTCATTACTTCAGCAAAGAGATCCATCTTCTCTATTGGCTTAGATCTTTTGGCAACTCCAATGCTTATTTAGGAAGTGCTGTGAAAAATGTTGTACACAGCATCTTAAAACCATTACTGACTTTCATTCTGCCCATTATTGATCGTCAACACAGGGTCACTGTCCAGAGAGCCGCGTAATCCCAAAAAATGCGGGACTTATAAGGAATATGAGATAAAGAACATACCTTCACAGTGATAATTCTCAAAACTTGCGCTTCTTGTGTACCCTCAAATTGAGAAGTTGAGGCCATTGCTAGAAATGAAATAAAAATTGAATAATTAATCAATCAGTATCACAATCACATTAAAGCCCAGGGACCTAACTTTGTGTTTTTCATTAATTCTTCATGCTGTTTGTCCCAACTGAGAGTTTTAGTCTGAGAGTCACAAGATATATTAGTGACATGTTAGTGCCATATGAACCCGCCATGACTCTGAGGAGCACAGGGACTGGACTCCTGTTAGTTCCCAGAGTCAGAACTAAACATGGGGAGGCTGCTTTTCAGATTCATGCTGCTAAAATCTGGAACAATCTTCCTGAAAATGTGAGACAGGCCTCCTCTCTAACAATGTTCAAATCCAGGTTGAAAACAGTTCTGTTTAGCTGTGCATACAACTGAGGGATTTTATTTTTAATGTACTGTGATTATTTATGTTATCAATGCTTTCTTATTTTGTTCAGCACTTTGAATTGCCTATGAATTGTGCTATACAAATAAATTTGCCTTAAAGGTACAATTTTATGAACAAATTAAACCACTACATGTCGTATTGAAAACGGGTTATCTCACTGTTTGACTCTTTGGGCTGTGGGCTGATGTGACAGAGGCCAGATACACATGCATGTGAAAACTAAAGATGGAACCAAACTGGGACGAGTTCTATTTCATTAGATTAGTTTTGGTTTGAATTACAGTTTGATTACAGTTTAACAAGTTTATTTATTTATACATTATCAAAATAGTTGCAGAGTAGAGCTGCTGCTTCTCCACATCGAGAGGACATCTGTATTCCCCCAGATGAGCCGGAGAAAGTGTGTATGGACAGGGAAGTCTGGGCGTCTCTGCTTATTCTGCGGCCCCTGTGACTTGGCAATGGAGAAGGGGTGAATGGATGAATAGTTTTTTTTTCACCTTACAGACTAAAACATCCTGAAGAAAGGTTATCTTGTGTTATAGTATTTATTTATTTGATGAGGACAATGCAGTCATGGTTTATCTGTCTGCAGCTGATGTGATGTTTACAGAATGCATGGCACGTGTTCATTTGCATACAACGACTATAGAATGATTGTGGATTTGGAGAAGGCGTTCAACTGCGTTCCCCAGGGTTTCCTTTGGGGGGTTTTCTGGGAGTACGGAGTCCTCTGTTGAGGGCTATCCGGTCCTCTGCAGAGTGGCTGGGCGCTCCCCTAGAGATGGGGTAAGGAGCCGCGTCCCGGCAATGGTAAAATGGCTATATGGATGGACTACTACAGAAGTAAAAATATCTATAAATATTTCTTATCAAACAACTCAATGTGTAACAAGTGTTCTCTATAAGATGTCCTTCAGGGGCATCACTTGAGCTTTGTGTTGGTCAAAAGTATACAAAAAATACATTTTCTCAGATTCGATAACTGATAATTTAATATTATTTGACATTCTAAAACATGAAATTCTCGTTGTATTCCTAAAAGGGTTTTGTTCTTTATCATAACATAACAAAACCTTTTTAGTACCGCAGCCTGAAATGTTACTTTACCAGTGAGATTAGCTCTACACAATGAGTTCAGGCAGCCCTGATCACAGACTTTCTGATTGGTGAAACGGTGGAGGGCGGGACATCGAAATGAAAACAAAAACAAGATATAGGGGCTGTAAAACAAATTTTGAAATTTGAATAACTCGGCTGAACTACTGAACTTCAGTTAAAGAAGTATTGGAAAAGAGCATGCTTTATTAACGTCTTTTGACATATTAGGGCCATTTATTGATGACTTGACATGAAATACTCTCATTATGATAATGCACCATATTCGGTAGGTTTGAAAAGCATCGTACCTTGTGTAGCTGTGCAGGGGTCGCTCTCTGCTGGTCTGTCTGGAGCTGCACACACAGGTCACTTACATTCACAGTCATGTTTTGTGATATTTGTTTGATGGTTGCATACCTGGCTCTACCAACAGGCGAATATTGACTTTGAGATCATTGAACATTCCGGGCACTTGCACCCGGCAGCCGTACACGCCAGCATCACTCCAATCCACGTTCACAATGGTCAGTGACGCGTCTCCAAAATCTACGTCCCCCCTCAGCTGGAACCGAGGACCCTTCTGGTTTTCTGTCACTCCATCGTCCCAGGACACTATAGTGTTTGAGCATTTGAACACAGGTACTTTGCCTTTGCCCCAACAAAATCTCAAAGATCCATAAGCCAGGGCATCGTAGCTGCACGGTAGACTCACATTATGGCCGATGATGCCCACAACGCTTCCACCGAATACTGTCGAAGAAAAAAAAGGCATTATTATTATTTTACACACATAACACATTTGGCCTCTCCACCTACACCACAATAAATCACACAAATATTGACTTACCTCGGGAGAGAATAGGCAGGATCAAGTAGCAAAGTCCACGCATGTGTGTAGGCTATTTGACAACTCTGCCTGGAGTGAGGATCAAATAAGTTTCCCCCACACAGACGCACTCTGGAGAGATTGTTCAAGCTTCAACTTCTGTTTTTTTAAGAACAGGAATCAATAAATGGACATATAGAGACAAATACCAAGCAATGTTCTCAGAGTGAAATGTACCGTAGCACACAAATCTTCCAGACAGCGGAGATCCAGCGTGTAATTTAGACAGTTTAAGATTAGATACGGCTGAAGGAGGAATAGGCAAAAGAATGAAGAAGATCAATAGGATGTAAAAAGCCTGAGTTTGCTCTGAGCAGGAAACAAGGTTTGAGTCAGAGAAACCACGTGATGTTTTTGGGAAGGGTCTCTTTCTAAACTAGTTTGTATTATTGCATGTTTTGCTCATTTGTGGTTTAGGGGAACCATATGAAATGTGTGGTATGTGAAATGAAAGAGGACCCAAAATGCTGGAATGCAAAAAATAATGATTTAATAATGATGATAAACAAAATATTTGACAAATCAAACTTACATTTTTTTTGGAATTTTTAAGTTTTATTTTCCAGTGTGAAGGGTCCTGGGAAATAAGAATAAATGTCTACCAGCAGATCGGTGCCATGACAGAGGCGCGTCTGACCAATGTTTGTCGTCATCCCAGGTCTAACATGGGCTTTGGATCTGTTCAGTTTGGTCTCCACTTATTTTTAGCGTATAAATATATCTTCTCCGATCTTCTTGCGTTAAGTGCTTATATATAGTACATTTCGCCCAACTGGACTGGAAGTGTGTTTTTCCTCCACAGACCGAAAGTACTACTTGTGACTGGAATTAGTTGCATTGAACAATATTTTTTTTCCGACAATAAGTGTATATTTCTCTATTGTGAGAAAGTCTTTATACGACACAGGGTCAAGACCAAGCTTGTTCCTCAGCCTTTTATAGAGTCTCAGTCAGGCATGTCTCAAAGAAGGCCCATTGAGATTATAAACAATTTCACAGTGTCATCCAGCAAACTTCAGCGCCACCAATATTTGCATGCTCGTCGTAATGGTCAGAACTTCTGGAACGCAGTCCTTGTTTATACGGACAAATGTTTTTGCTGGTGAGATTTGTCATTCATCCAACTTCTGTTTTGTCACACGTGGATATGGAAATGATGTCATACCTCATTTTAAAGACCACAACAGCCCAAACACAGTCAAAATAAGCTGAGTTGCTGGACCAGTCTGGTGAAATTAACCCTTACTGAAAGGTTTGGGCCTTACCTTTCTTAACTGTAGCTACACCGTGCAATAATATTGTATTTTTGTATTCAGTTTCTTGGATCATCAGAAAAACTGCAGCAGAGTTCATGTGTCTTGCATTTTTGGTAGAGATCAGATGTTTTTCTGCCTAAACTCATCTAGCCTTGCGTGTGATGGTTGCAATTCTGTTGCTATCTAAAGTAATATAAACGTCGTCAATGTCTTCACACTGCAGCTTCTCTGACAGCTCTAGTGTTCTGCTGTCATCACTGTCAGCCATCTTTGATTCCTACACATGCTTCCACTAAATCGCTGTCCTCCCCCTTTGAGCTGCAGTGAGTGCTTCATAAATCAGCATTGTCCCAAATGGCAGTTTCTCATCTATCTACACTCTTTCTCCTCTCTCTTCTAACTCTGGACTTTTGAACAGGTTTCGTCTGTGATCCCAAAACCATAGTTTATTGTACCAGCCCTTATGCCTTTGTGAAATAGGCTCTTGTTTACTTTGCTTTCCTGTTTGGATTCATGTGAAAGACGCTGTAAATCCAAAGCATAGATAAAGGTTTAAAACCTGAATTAGGAGCAGAGCGGAGCTGCTTTGGTCTTGAGCCAAAAGACACAGACAAATGTTATTTTTAAAATGAGGAACAAGTTGACGGGTACTGTTGGCCAATTGTTCAATTCTAGTCTAGAAATAGCACAAAGAAACGACTCGTGTCTGAGTTCAAAATGCAGTAATTCTCTGTCACATTTACTCAAGTGCATTGCCACCATGTTGTAGTACACATCGATTTACAATATTGCTGATGCCAGAGGGGCTAAAGCAAAGATGCTGAGCTGTCAAACCGCTCCATACCCTCCTAGAGTGACCTCTGCAGAAAAGAGTGCTTCCTTTAGACTTACATTCTCCTCAAAGTACATGGTTTGTATCTTGTACTTGTCGATGCTTTCAGACATATGCTCGCCATCCTTGTGCTCCGAGAGAACATCCTTCAGGAGTCAGAGGTGGTGACTCGGCCGCAGCTGTTGCAGTGTGATGCAGAGTTCACATGTTGCGATCAGACAGCAGCCCTTCTCATGTGAGGGCCTCAAGGGAAGTCAAGTCAAGTGTACAGAAGCAGAAGAAGCACGTATCAAGCGCATCATTTTTGTTCACCCCAAAAATGAGATGATGTGGTCATTAGTGTTTGCATTCTTTCCACTACACGCCATGAACACCTGAGATAGGGCTTTCAGAGCGTGTTTTGACATGTATTTTTGGACAAACTTTCTGCTCAATTTGAAAGCAGCAATCTGTAATGTTTGAGTAGTTCTCTTTAGGAATGTCTGACAGTGTCCTGACCTGCGTTCGAATCCCGGTCGGAACGGGTGGAGTGTGTATGTTCTCCTCGTGTCTGCCTAGGTTTCCTCTGGGTGCTCCGGTTTCCCCTACCACTAACATGTAAAGTAGATCTGGCATGTGCCTCCTGCCTCCTGTGACTGTGGTCTGTGCTATGTTGTGCTTTTGAGTTAATAAAAATGAGTTCCTTATATACTTACAGCAACACATGAATACGTCCATCCATCCATTTTATTCCCCCTAAATTCATTTCTGGGGTGGGAGTGGCAGTCAGAGTTGCACACATTTCACAGAGCACCAACCCCTCACTGATCCTCCTGCAGGTGCAAGCAATCAGCAAGCTTTATATATGTATAGCGCCTTTAACAGGTTAGAGTCACAAAGCGCTTTACAATTGTTGTGGGTATTTGTCTCTCACTCCACAAAGAGATGGGAGCAAGGTTGCCAGTACTGGAGGCGCATGCCAGACCTATGGGCTATATGCACGGAGAGGCGTGACGTCATCTCAAAGAACTAAGAACGGCTCGTTTACTTCCCGTCTGTGCTAGCGCTATGGCTGTGGTGAGTTGTAGTGATGTTTTTTAGTCATTAGATTGATATATTCAGCTGTGAGACTGACCCAAAAGTGTCACGAGCTTTCTCACTGAGGAAAAGCTTTGACTGTAGCCACTGTAGAGAGATTAGTTAACATAATAAAAGCACAATGACAGCACAATCAAAGAGCACTGCTGTGTCCCAAAAATGCCCAGCATCCTCACAGTTTAATTCCAGTTTGAGCATTATTTAGGAAACGCGGAAGTGTGCGTGCATAGAGCCCATTGTGCATGTTTACAGTGGCAAGGCAAGGCAAGGCAAGTTTATTTATATAGCACAATTCATACACAAGGCAATTCAAAGTGCTGAACAAAACAAGAAAGCAATAAAATCATAAATAATCACAGAACATTAAAAAGAAAGCTAAAACAATCCCTCAGTTGTATGCACAGCTAAACAGAACTGTCTTTAACCTGGTTTTAAACATTGTCATTGAGGAGGCCTGTCTCACATCTTCAGGAAAACTGTTCCAGATTTTAGCAGCATGAATCTGAAAAGTGGTAAGGGAAACCGGAGCAACCGGAGGAAACCAGAGCCAACATGCAAACTCCACTCAGAAAGACCCCGTTCCAACCAGAATTTGAACCCAGGACCTTCTTGCTGAGAAGCGAGAGTGCTCTCCACTCAGCCACCGTGGTGAGTCCACAGGGACTTTGATCTTTCTGCAGGGGCTTCAGGCAAAGTGGGGTTAAGTGTCTTGCCCAAGGACACAATGGCAGCTGAAAACGTATACTGCTGTTAATTATAACTGAGGTCTATGCATCTATTCTTGTACAATCGTTATGAACTCAGAGGGCATTTTACTTTTTTAACATGTTTGCACATTTACTGATGGCACCTTTCCTGTCTTTTGCACAACCTGAGTGATCCTAAATATGCCAAATGTGACATGTACATTTCTCCATTGTTGCATCAACAAAGTCCATCTTATCTCATCTTCTACTGGGTCCGTTCACACACATGCATGCTTCTATCGTCCAAATGCGAGTCGAAAAGCATCAAGGCACATAGCACTAACAATGCTGGAGGTGAGCCGAGGGAGACCAGTGCAGCGGACTGGTCCTGGTCTGGGCAGGTTCACTAAGCTGCTCCGTGCTGGAGTCGTGGCTGCGGATGGTCGTTGATGTGACGTGAAGCAAAGCACCAGACAGACTGTCCAGGACCCACTGCCTGGCACAACACGTTCAGAGCGGTTCTTCCTCGGCTCCTTTCACCTCAGGCCTCAATGCCTCCCTCCATTATTTTTGGCCAAATGGCGATGAGGCGGTGATTTACTTGAGAAATAATATCTTCAGTTTATGGTCAACAGCAAATAAATTAATACGATTAGCCTGTTGTCATTTCCCTTGAGAAACTACAAAACTGATTTATGGGCAATATTTTTTGTTTTTTGTTTGTAAAAGGCAGTAAACTGCTCGGAGTGTGATGTCATGGTCTTACAGGAATGAGACAGGAAGTTTTAGACAGATGGGGGCGGAGTTAGATCTTTGGGTTATGGTTAGGGTCAGGGTTCCAGAACTTCCCCACTCTTTAAATGGATCTAAAACCAACTCCAGGTCAGTTTCTAACGAGGCAACAATGTAATAAAATGATAACAAGCTAAAAAAAATTGATTTTGTTCATTATTTGTTATTTCAAAGCTATAAAGTTGTAGTTCAATACTAAAATAAGTAATTTCATTGTTATTGTTTATTAATGAGTGAGACCTCTTCACCGGTAAAGGTAGTTTTGTTTCCAGTGCAAAGTGAGCCCTTGAGTTTCATAGCTGTTTATGCACATTTCCTCAACATGAAAATGGTTGTGAAACACACGGGATGTGCTCTAGAC